GTGGCAGATAATCGGCGTAACTCTTATTTGATTTGAAAACATGCTAAAGCTCCTCAAAATGAATTCTTTTCGTAAATTCCTCGCTCTCTAAAAGTTTTCTTGTATATTCGCAGTATAATCAATGCTTTCGATGTGAAAACATGTTGCTTAGCGAAATTCCTTTTGACTGGATAGTAGAAACAGTAGACGAGTTTAAGATAGCTTTACATGACACTTGGACATTCGTCAGTCTTCCGACTGAAAAACTGCATTTTCTTTGCTTTGCAGTGGCTCGATAATAGACTCAGACGTAAAACAAAGCTTTAAGAACAGATTTGACACTTACCGGCATAGTGAACAATGGATCACCTAAAATGGGGTGATCAGAATCCGTCTGTCGGACGAAACGTTTGATAAGGTAGTGATAAGCTAAACAGCGAAATTATGGCCTAGCGAAACGCCGAGTTAAAGCTTGCGAAGTCAAATCAATTTAGAGTAGAAATTGACGGCTTCTTGTTAAATCGGTGATCACAAGACCGTCTTTACTGAACAGACCCACTCGGAGAAAATCCGCTGGAACAGAGCAATCTTGCGATCATCTAATAATTAGTCAATTATTTTTTTCTGGCAGAAATTTTTGGGCGGCTCTACACATTATCATACATAGCAACGGAGCGCTGTTGGGCAGAAATAAGCAATGGTTTCGAACACCACTGCTTATGAGTCATAAAGCAACGCCGTTGATCACATCACTTTCTCTGAGAGCCCGTCAGTTCTCAATAGGATGTTTAATTCGACAAGGACATTACCAATTCCGCGATCAAGTCAAGATTCTAAGAGCAAAAACAGGCGGGTACTGACTCCGCAATGAGCTTCATAACAAATTTTGTTAAGAAAGATCAACAGTTACTGAAGACCATTGAGGGAAGACTTAGAACATGGCAAAGTCTACACGCATGTCAGCCAGCTCTAGATTTTTAGGGTTAAAACAGCCTCATCTCGATATGCCGATACGTATTTCGTTCGCAACATTTCTTAATCGCCTCTCCTGGTTTCGGCTATAAACTTTCTGATAAAATCTAACGAATAGGCTACTAACAGCATTGCATAACATCGGGCAGTGACATGTAACAGTCGTTAAAGAAACTCATTTGGATTTTTCAAGTAGACGGTGTAAAAATCAGAATAACAATAAACGGAAGAATCACGAGTGAACAAGAATAAACATAACAAACAAAAAAACGCATACCAGGCAGCTGTACACTGCA